TAGCCGGGCATGGTGGCACATGCCTGTAGTCCCAGCTACTTGGGAGGCCAAGGCAGGAGGATCGCTTGAGCCCAGGAGTTTGAGGTTGCTGTGAGCTAGACTGACGCCACGGCACTCTAGCCCGGGCAACAGAGTGAGACTCTGTCTCAAAAAAAAAAAAAATTAAAACAATCCTTCTGAAAGAAGATCTCATCAGCTCAGTAAAATCCAGACCTAACCGGGGCCTTTTGCAGAGATGCAGAGAGAGCGTGGCCAAGGGCGGGCTGCCGCAAGCCAGGTGCAGGAGCAGCTGGCTCGGACCGGAACAGTACTTTCTGGCATAGGCCGACGCACGCTCCTCATCCTTCTCCAATATTTCTTGCTGTACTACTAAATACCTCTCTGAAACTAAATGTTTCCTTTTTGGAGCAGTATTAAGTATAGGCAGAATCCTTACTTTAACAGCGATCATCATGCTGTCCAGCTCAATATAACACAGTTCCTGTCCTGCCAACGGCCCACACTAGCATGGTTTTGTTCATGTCTGTTGGCATATATGGAGACAGCAGTAAAGGACTTTATACACACATACGCACATATATATGATTTTCTTTAAAAATTATATATACACACATATCCATAACTTGTGATCTAAAATATATTTTGGCATATAATATATGAGGTAGCTTTAAAAAGCACTGCCTCTGTAGTTATCTGAAAAAGATGTATTAAATAATCTTTCTTTATGCCTTGTTTTAGAAGATTATATATATGATGTTTTTGTAGATAGTCTGGTTTGCTTCAGGACTTTCTATTTTGTTCTGTTAATCAATAACACTCTGCTTTAATTGCAATCGTTTTATAATATGCTTAATCCCTTACTTACCAGCTCCTCATTTCTTCTGTAGCAGAATACTCATTAATATTATATCCTGTTTTTATTTAAAAAAGGCTAATTTTGAAAAAATTCTATAGTTAAACTATTCCTATTGAGAATTCCAATTGCAATTACATTAGGAGGTATTTTAAATCCAAAATAGTAGATATTTGTCAATAGTCTGCTTGGTGTTTCTTGTTACAAGTTTAAGATCATAGACAGAATGTATACATATCTAATTCATGATATAGGTTGCATGTAGAGAGACAGTAGGGGAATGGAAGTGGAGAGTGATAAAAAGGGTGTTATTTCTTATTTCTTAAAAAAATCCACAAAGCATAGATGGCAAATTATTCAACTGTACTAAGTCTGGTGGTAGGTGGAAACATGGGTATTTATTATGGCAATCTCTGTACATTTGTAAGTATTTGAAATTTTTCATAATGAAAAACAAAACAAACAAAAACAACAGATGAGGCAGGAGAATCAGGCTTATAAGCCTGAGAACACAGCACATCCACTCTGAGTGCTATAAACAGATATGAGTGGTATGTGTGTATCCAGACTTTGGAGCTAGACTGTCCAAGTTCAAATTCTAGCTCTATGACTTATTAGCTTTATGACTCCAGGCAAGTTACTTACCCTATCTATGCCTCAGTTTCCCCAGTTGTAAAATCAGGACAATAATACTAGCTACCTCCTAGGGTTATTGTGAGGATTAAGTAAGTTATGACATGGAAAGCATTTCAAACAGTGCTTGGTATTTAGCATACGCTTAGTAAGTGTTAGCTATCATTATTATTGTATTATTATTACATTTATTAATACTACACATATTACATTGTTTTATGGCTATTTTAAATTTTATATAAATTATATCATTCAAAATATGGGCCCATCTGCAACTGTTTTACTCAATCCTCATCCGCTGTTTTGCAGAGAAATGGCTCATTCTAAGGCTAGCTTTTCATGGACAACCCCCTTCCATCCTTGCCTTGAGAACCCAGTGCCGGACTTGTCAAGCTACCGAGCAATTTCTTCTCTTGATCTCCTTGGAGACTTCAAACAGGCCTTGAAAAAGACAGAGGAAACCTCAATGTATGAGGAGGAGAGCTCCCTTGCCTCCATGTCCCGCCCACTGCGTAGCCGTGCCTTCTCAGAGAGTCACATTAGCCTGGAGCCCCAGAGCACCCGGGCCTGGGGGCAGCATAGGAGGGAGCTGTTTACCAAAGGGGATGAGACCCAACCGGATACTCTCGGAGCCAGGAAAAAGGCCTTTCCTCCTCCTCGCCCTCCTCCTCCCAACTGGGAGAAGTACAGGCTCTTCCGTGCAGCCCAGCAGCAGAAGCAACAACAGCAGAAGCAGCAACAGCAGCAGCAGCAGCAGCAGCAGCAGCAGGAGAAGGAGGAGGAAGAGGAAGAAGAGGAGGAAGAAGATGAAGAGGGAGAAGAGGAGGAGCTGCCACCCCAGTATTTCAGTTCAGAAACCACTGCTTCCTGTGCCCTCAATCCTGAAGAGGTCCTGGAGCAGCCACAACCCCTGAGCCTTGGCCACCTGGAGGGCTCAAGGCAGGGTTCACAAAGCCTTCCAGCAGAGCAAGAGTCGTTTGCTCTCCATTCTAGTGATTTCCTGCCCCCAGTAAGGGGCCACTTGGGATCTCAACCTGAGCAGGCTCAGCCCCCTTGTTATTATGGCATTGGTGGGCTTTGGAGGACATCAGAGCAGGAGGCAACTGATTCCCCCAAGTAAGTACTTATGAGAGATACCGGCTCCCTTAAGAGGCAGGCAACATGAGTTTGAATTCCACCTCCACCATTTACCAACTGTGTGACCTTGGGCTGGTCAATGAAACTGCTCCCAGCCTCGGTTTTCTTACCTGGAAAATGGGCACGATAATACCTGCTCTACATGGTTGTTATGAATGTTAAAGTAATCTATATAAAAGACATAGCTCCATGCTTAGCATTTCAGATGCTCAGTAAATGGGAGTTATTGAGGTTCTTGTCCCTAAATATCATTATTAAAATGCAATATTATTTCTTAATTTGTCTTTAAGGTATGCATCAATTTCTGGCCCCTGATCCCAAAGGCATTATAACCCTGTTGCCTATACTAGGCCTTTCCTGAAAATCTGGCTCAGGCCCTTTTCTGCCATTTCTTCTGCTTATTCTCCAGAACAAGAGGCCAGCTTACAACCTAACCTGCCTCTGCTCTAGGACAAGTAGCCTGGGCTTCTAAACTCTTCTCCCGTACCCCCAGCATCAAAGGTATTTCTGGGGCTGGATGCTTCATACCTTGAAGATTCCTTACTATAGCTAGGGACATTATTTTTCTCTTCCTCTTTCTCTCTCTCCTTGTTTCCCCGCCTCTTTGCATTCACTTCAGTGGGTGATACGTGGTAGTTGATGGGGTGAGCTGTTTGGGCGGGGAAGCCAAAGCAGGAGTGTGGTCTGGCGGCAGGACTGCCAGTCTCTGCTCACTCCGCCATGCCAGTGCTCATCTGCATGCTTCACAGTGCATGGTTGTCCTTTTTGCACCAAAGCAAAAGCCTCAGGACCATCATTGCTCAGTGCTCTGGCTCTGGGCTCTGCCTGCCCTCCTGTGGAGAGCTCAGCCCCCTCTCTGCTGGGGTTAGGGGTAAGGAGACAGGTGTCTTCTAAGTGCTTTCTTTGAATCCTTTTATAGTAGGAACTTGCCTGAGACTTGTTACTGTTAAAAGTACCTTGTTACTGTGTCTTTTGTTGACAGGCAAATCTGTGACTCAGCTATATGGAGTTAGTTGAGCAGTTTTCCCACACAAGATGCCACAAGCACAGCATTTACAGGGCCTGGCTCCTGGGCACTGTGAGAATCCCTTATCAGATCCTATGTAGCTACTTCTCAAGCTGTCTGTCTAGCTGGGGAGCGTTCTTATTGTCACTAGAAAACATTTTGTGGAAAGTCACTATGATGGTTACCTATCACAGCAGGGAGAAGGGAAAGTGACCTAGCACATAGTAGGCACTTAACTAATATTTCAGAAAAAAGAACAAATGAATGAATGAGCATTTATTAAGCGTTTACTATGTGCCAGCCACCACTACGCTTTATATATCTATTATTTCATTTAATCCTACAAGAGCCCTACTGACCATTATTATCCCCATTTGACAGGTGAGAAAACTAAAGCTTAGCAAAATAAGAGACTAATTCAGAGTTGCGCAGGAAAGATTCAAAGACAGATCTGTCTCACTCCAAAACCCATGCCAGGCAGCCTCTCTGAGACAGATCTTGTTCTTCATGTAGACCAGGCTTTCATGAGGCCCTCTTCTCTTCTGTAAGGCAATGTGGACCAGAGGTAGCAGTTACAGGCCCTGGTCCTTCTTACTTTGTGTACCTCCATCCACCTTGGCATCTTAGCCAAAGAGAAGGACATCACTCTTACTAGAGATCTTGTAACTTGCTCCAGAGATTTTTTTTTTTTTTAATGGTTATGGGATGTGAGGGAAAACATTTGTTTGCACACAGCCCTGGCTTGTGGCTGCAAAAATCAATTAGAGATGCCTCTTTGAGTGATGGATATTTAAGGAACAGCATCATTCCCAATATAGCTAACATTTTTTTGCCTGCTTACAATGTGACAAGCATTGTTCTAAGCACTTTCATGTATTGATTGATTTTCACAACAAACCTATGAAATAGTTACTATTAGTCTCCATTTCTTAGATGAGAACAATGAGGCCCAGGGAGATAAAGTAACTTGATCACAAGATTAAGGTAGCCAGAATCCAGGTAGTCTGTCTCACTCTGCTTGCCACATCATCTCAGAATCTCTGGGATCCTGAAGAAGATTCTATTGTAGATCCTAGAAGAGCACAGGATACTAATCAGAAAGAAGCAGCTTTAAGATTTTAGAAGGAAGAATAGTTTTAGGGGCAAGTATATGAGGGCTATCTGGAAAGTATCCAGCCATTGTTAATATATTTTTCATAGTACATGGCTGGACACTTTCCAGACAGCCTTCGTATGTATAACATTTTGAATCTAAAATGCAGGCAAAGGCATCCTAATTTCATCCAAGTTTATCTGTAGTACTTCTATAACCTATGCACTGTTCAGTTAAAAAAAATGTTGGGATACACATAGAAGCCAGTTAGTGGAATTATCAAGTATTGGTTAAGTCCAATAACTCTGATTCAAGTATAGGTATAGCTCGCTTTGTGGATTTTATGCATTTCCCCTCAGTGCTCTGTGGAAGGAATCTGATTTTTGCTTCGATGTTCACTGTCAAATTCTGATTACATTCTCATGAATCACCTGTAACCCCTTCCCTGTTAATGGAGGGATGAGGAAAGGAACCCTAGAGCATAGTGCCTAATATGTTATACTATAATATAACACAGGGTTCTGTCTGCTGGGGAACTGAGTCTCTAATTAGCATATCCTTTTTTTTTTCTTTGTATCACTTTCTGGCTCTGAACTTTCACATGTGCCCTAAATATTTTTCTTATAGATAGGAATTCCCTAATTCCTATTCCCTAACTCATACCTTCTTATCCCCTCCAGAATATTCTGTATGCTTTGCTAACATAGATATACTCCAGCCAGAAAATTATTTACATGTAGGGTTTTAAGTGATGTCAAGTTGTCCCTGTGGCTGTATAGCATAGTGGCTAGATGCACAGGTGCAAATCACAGGTCTGCCATTTAATGGCTGATGACCTTGGGAAAGTCACTGTACCTCTTAGTGCCTCATGTTCCTTATCTGTGAAATGGTTGTCATGAGCATTCATTTTTGTATCGATAGACATACGTGTGTGTGTATCTATCTTAGGACAGTTTCTGGGACATAGTAAGCATAATGTAATGGTAGCTAGTATTATTCCTTTATCAGTATTATAAGCTTGAAAACCTACATATATTATAAAATGAATTTACCTATGATGAGGAATATTGGCGTGCCCAAGTTTCTTTTGTGTGATGAATTAGGAGACAACATAGCATGAATCAGTAAATAGCTGTGGAGCCTTTTAACCATTATTTTTGACCTTTATCTAAAAGCTGCAAATAGCTGCAAAAATGACTAATGAGTTTCTCCTATTTTCCCTTTCAAACAGCTAGAGGTTAGCAAAGGGGTAGTGACGCAGACAGGTGGAGGCGGGAGATGGCTGGGAGGAAACAAGAATATGGTGAGGGTGGGCCTCCCCCTCGAATAAACCATGGGTGGAATTATTTGCGCCTCCATCACTGAAACCTGACATTGTAGTGTTTCTCTTTACTTCCTTCCTCACACCAGACCAGAAGCTTTGATGGCAGAAGAGGCCAAACCCAAGCCAGTATGGAGCCAGAGCTACTTTTTTCCTGAGGAGAAGTTCTCTTTCATGGGCTGGGGTTCTGAGAAGCAACGCCTCAGCCCTGCAGGCTTCAGTGAACCCAAGACAACAGGGTCTGCTGCTACACTTGTCAAGCCCCTGGGTGCCACTGGTTCCACTTTTTCCCCATTTCATTCTCCAACCATGCAGGAGGCTGGGGCCACTGGGAATATGCCAGAAGTGGAGAGATGCTATCCCTTCTCAGGCCGAAGGCCTGCCCTACAGCAGGCAGTCTCAGAAGAGCTCGTGAGAGATGTGGTGGGCCATGACAAGTCCCTGGCAGGGGTGCTAACCCCAGCCTCCAACATGGTGACCACTGCTGAGGTCATGGGTGACCTCTTTGCTGTGGGAGATCTGCAGTGGAGGGGCCATTTCAAGCATGAGTGGCATCAGGAAACAAGAAAAGATGAGAGTGTCCAGGAAAGCCACAGGGTGCCTTTGTAAGCAAGCAGACCAGTTAGAGCTGGGATGGGCGTGGCCCAGGGATGGGTCTGAGGGAGGCCAACAAGCTTGGAGGACCAATAGCTAAGGTCTCAGATATTAATACTTCCCTACCACCTAGCCCCTCTTTTGGGATCCATATACTGGGGCCATGAACCAAAGGGAATCACTGATGATCAGAAGCCCAGAACTTTTGGGGCCTGCCAGTTTTTCTGAATTTTAATAGTGTGTTAATAACCAAACCAAATTATCTCTAAAGAAGTCCCCCTAGCTGCTGAAATTGGGGGCATAGAAATAGACTTCTAGGTTCTTAAAATTTGCCTTTACTTAACTTCTAGATACTCTTTATGTGGCCTGTTTACATTTGAACAGTGCCTCCTGATCCATAAATTTATACAACTCCTTGGTGAAGCAGGGTCCCATTTTTCAGATGGAGTAATTAAGAAGCAGAAAGGTCGGCAGCCTCTCAGCAGAGGTGCTCAAATGGTCATTCTCTGTTTCCGCAGACAAGAGTTTCAGCACTTCTCACCTCCTCCAGGGGCCTCAGGAATCCCTACCTCTTACTCAGCTTATTACAGTATTTCTGCGGCCAAGGCAGAGTTGCTGAACAAATTGAAAGACCAACCCGAGATGGCAGAGATTGGCCTGGGAGAGGAAGAAGTTGACCATGAACTGGCTCAAAAAAAGGTGAAGTTCTTTGATATGCACTATCTATGATTTTCAGCATTTAGCTTGAGTGTGTCTGGAGGATGACCAGCCCTCTAACACTCTCTACAACATCTTGCATTTCCTGTATCTTCAGTATGGAAATCAAACAGCCTCTCTGGGTTCCTCACAGATCCAATTCCAGTCCCTTTTTGATCCAGTCAGTCAGTCATCATCATCATCATCATCATCATCATTATCATCATCATTACTGTCTCTCTAGGCCTTAGAACAAGCCTACAAGGTAGATATTAGTATATCCCTTTTTCACCTGTTGAGGGGACTACTTCGTCCAGGAGTTGCGGACTAAAACTGGTAGATCCAGGACTTGAAGTCAAGACTGCCTGAATTTCTACTTTACTCCGTGTGCCATCTCTCTCAATTAAGCCAGCCTTGTAAGTAAGTCACTGCCTAGGGCACATCAGAGATTTTCCAGTGAGCTCTTCTAACCAACGCTAGTGTCATTGATTTTTATTCTCTGTGCAACTTTCTGGGAGAGAAAACAGACTGACTAAGGAAAATAAGGAGAAATTATAGGCTGGCAAAGTTTAGTATTTATTTGCAAAGATAGTCAATTGTCTCTTAAAAATACAAAATAGATAAATGGAGATGATGTTGTTGTTATTGTTCTAAAGCCTCCCTTTCTTCCTCTAAGTACCACTAGCTTGGTTTTTCTAATCAAATTCCTGGAATCACTTTGCCCTCCTTGTACTTACCCATTTTATTTCATAAGCAAATAAGGTTGCCATGACAACCTCAAAGGCTCAATTTACCACTTGGTGGACATCTGAACTCAATGTAAATTGCTCTTCTGCCCATATTTCTTTTTCAGAACATGACCTGTAGGAAAGCACAGGGCCATTTGCAAGAGCCATCCCTCCAATTTCCTATCTAAAGCAAAATGCCAGAGGAAGAATTGGAAACATGGTGGTGTTAAAGTTTTATTGATCTAGATGTCTGCTTCCTTGGATTCCATGTTCCCCAAGCATGGTAGGGCTGCTGTTGGCCTACTCAGGGCCTGGCCTCTACAGGAGCAAACCTAATAGAAGTCTGACCAGGAGAAGAGAGAGATGATCAGATATGGCAAAGCACAGGACAGCAGAGAGTGATTTGAAATGAATGTGGGTGGGCTAGGACAGGTTTTGTCTCTGAGGAAGAAAGGTGAGGAAGGTCACCAATTTGCAATAATCACAGAATAAACTCAGCTCTGGCTGGGTCTGTGATGACTCCACAGCTCTATTATACTTTCCCTAGGGTTGAAGTTCAAGTTATAGAGCCCAGGTGCCAAGAAACAAAGGGCTCTCTCCATTTTTATGCTTTTATTCATCCCCGGAGCCTGGAAGCCAGGGTGGGTAGGTGATTTTCCAAGTGAGTCATTTGGCCCCCAGCCATCCCTTTTCCCCCAGCATTGAGTTTTGTTTGGGAGAGCAGAGGCTGGGAATATAACTGGCAGCCTGTTGGCATCTAATTGTGTTGCCTCATTCACATCACTGATCATCCCCAATTCCCAGTGGATTTTGGAATTTTCCCCAGATGAAAACCTATTATGCTTCAGACTAAGGTCATGGTGATCTCCTGAATTTTGAACAGTTCTAAAATATGGCAACAGGTCCCAGAACCCAGAGGAGGCTCTCTTAGTCTTGGTCTCCTTGGGCATCTCTTAATAAACTACTAAAGAGGAACATATTCTGGAACACTATAAATAAGCCTGTGGTCCCAGAATGCCTGGGCTGGAGTAATAATAAAACAAGCACTGAGTTCAGTATTATGCCTGGCACTTAAGTGCTCAGTGCGTGTTTACTAATGCTATTATTATTATATTATTTTTACGAGGCACTCTAAACGAGTGAATACTTGTCTAGCTGCGAGGTTCTGACAAGAAAGGACTTGTCCCAGGCTGCGCACAGCCTTTGCAGCCAGTACCGCATTGTGGTTAAGAGCATGGACTCCAGTGCATACTTCCTACGTACAAGATACTATTCTAAACATGTAACACATATTAATTCATTTAATTGTCATAACAACTCTATGAGGTAGGTTCTATTGTTATCCTATTTTTTTGGATGTAGAAATTGAGGCACAGAGAAGTTGAGTAATTTCCTCAAGGTCACATACCACTACTTTGTGGCAGAGCTGGGGTTCAAGCCCAGGTAGTCTGGCACTGGAGTCCATGCTCTAAACCACAATGCGGTACTGGCTGCAAAGGCTGTGCGCAGCCTGGGACAAGTCCTTTCTTGTCAGAACCTCGCAGCTAGACAAGTATTCACTCGTTTAGAGTGCCTCGTAAAAATAATATAATAATAATAGCATTAGTAAACACGCACTGAGCACTTAAGTGCCAGGCATAATACTAAGTTTTATACTTCTGTGATTTCATTTAACCATCACAACAATCCTGGCTTGAGGGGGATGGCGGAGTTCTCCACTTTACAGATGAAAAAACAGAAGTTTTAGTGGAATTAGGTATCTTGTCCAAAGTCACACAGTTTGGAGGAGGTGGAATTGGAATCCAGGTGTCTCTGAATCCAAAACTCTACCACACAGCCTTCCTATGAGTGCAGTCCCAGAACTAGTTACACCCACTGGGGAGACAAATCGGAAGACACAGGCAGTACCTCCCTCAAGAAGTTTACCATCAATAGTAGGTGAGGGATCAGACTCACACACATGGAATAGAAAATGAAGAACTTCAAATTACTCTATAGTGTTCTAATTCTAAAAAACTTTAGAACTCAGAAAAGAAAGAGATCATTGAGAGAAGACTTACAGAGGAGGGCTTCCTGTCTCTGAGGGTAGGAGTGGAGCTGAGCCCTGAACAAAGAATAGGAACAGCCAAAGTGAAGAAAGAGACAAAGAGCAGATGGAACTGCATAAGCTGCTTAGGAATACAAGAATGAGTGTGGCGAACACAGAGGAGAGTGAGGAGCTAATTCCAGAAGGCTCTGAGGAGTGACATTAGAATGGCAGAGTGGGGTCAGACTGAGTGATCATAATAGCAGCCTAGCTTTTATGGAGCACTTACTCTGGACAAGCCCTTTGCAGGCATTTCTCATTGACTCCTTATTATGCCCCAATGCAGTGGGTACTGCAATTACCCCCGTTCTACAGATAGAGAAAGTGAAGCTTGCTGGGCGCGGTGGCTCACACCTGTAATCCCAGCACTCTGGGAAGCCGAGGCGGGAGGATCGCTTGAGATCAGAAGTTCGAAAGCAGCCTGAGCAAGAGTGAGACCCCTGTCTCTACTAAAAATTGGAAAAATTAGCCGGGCTCCCTGGCCCGTGCCTATAGTCCCAGCTACTTGGAGGCTGAGGAAGGAAGATCGCTTGAGCCCAGGAGTCTGAGGTTGCTGTGAGCTACGCTGACACCACGGCACTCTAGCCCAGGTGACAGAGTGAGACTCTGTCTCAAAAATATAAATAAATAAAAAATAAAAATAAATAAAAATAAAGTGAAGCTCAATAATATCAAGTCACCCAGGGTCCCACATCTAGGAAGTAGCAGAGCTAGAAGTCAGACTTGGTCTTTGTGATTCCAGAACTCACATTCTTATCCAGAAGGCCTCAGAAGCCAAGCTGCAGTGGCAAGGACCTATACAGTGTCATGAACATTAGAGGTACTTAAATGGATTGAAGGAAAATGAATGAAGTGACAGGCAAGTATTTACTTGCGGGCAAATGGTTTTCCAACGGAGACTCTCAAAAGCATTCTATCTAGCTCCTATTTATTAAACAGTCTCAGCAAGTATTTATTAAGTTGCATTTGGCAAATGAGGCTTAGCCCATGGGTACCACTTATCTAATGCCAAGAAGCTTAGTGGTAACATGGAGATCCCTACCAGACAGGGAGATAAGGTGACTACTTAGAAAACTGGAATTGCTAACGACTTGCTCAGGTTTCCTTTGTTTCCAGTGACTAGGGTAGAGCCCACCCTCTGTTAGTTGGATCCCAAAACAGAGGTTACAGGCACAAATCAGTTTCTGTTGGTCCCCATTGTCATCCTTTGTCTTCTCCTATTTAACTCCCCTAGATACAACTTATTGAAAGCATTGGCAGAAAACTTTCTGTCCTACGGGAGGCCCAGCGAGGGCTGCTAGAGGACATCAATGCCAATTCCACCCTTGGGGAGGAGGTGGAGGCCAACTTAAAAGCCATCTGCAAATCCAATGAATTTGAGAAATACCGTTTGTTTATTGGGGACCTGGACAAAGTGGTCAACCTGTTGCTGTCACTCTCTGGACGACTGGCCCGGGTGGAGAATGCTCTCAATAGCATTGATTCAGAGGCCAACCAGGAGAAGGTAGAGTTGGGGTCTCTGGGGTGTGGATGGAGGGAAAGACCATCTGTTTCTTCTCAGGGCTCCCTCTTTCAAGTTGGGCTATTATGGGAAGCAGTAAAGCATAGTGTTAAAAGAGTGCACATACTGGCCTGTAAGTGCCCTGAAATTGTGGCTCTGTACCACTTATCAGCTGTGTGACTGTGGGCAACTTAACCTCTCGCGGCTCAATCTCCTCATCTATAAAATGGGGTGAACATCCTACCTGCCTCATGGGGTTGTGAGAATTAAATTAGATAATCCGTGTTAATTACTTAAAACAGGGCTTAGAAACAGGGTAAACACTGAATCAGTGCTACCTGTTAGTAGTAGTAGTAGCAGCGGCGGCAGCAACAGCAGCAGTTTTGCCTCACTTTTTCTAGAGTTGGAGAGGGAGGTCTCATCAAGTAGTTGAGATTGGGAGGCTGTCAGTTTCAGAGGTTGGGTCACCCTGCCTACATTCCTGAACCAAAACTGCATTCCTTTTACTATACGAGTGGCTTTGAATTCAACTTTGAATCCACAGTAAGGTGCATATGCACATGCATACACACATGGATACATCCACTCACACACATCCACTTACACAGAGATACACGCCATATAGAAAGCATCGCCACAGTGATGGTTGCTCATCAGATGGAAGGGACAGGCTGGGTTTTTCAGAACCTTCCCACCCCCAAAACCAGTGGTGGTCTCCAGATTAAAGACAGCCTTACGGATGTCACATCCCTCTGTCCAGAATTGCTGTTGTGTTTATCCTCCTCTTGCTACAGGGAAGAAAGGCTTTTGCATGGAGATGGACTTTAGGAAAGGAAGTCTAGGACTACTCAATCAGCAGAATGGATAGCTGCACTGTGGCAGCATCCCTGGCGGAGTACTGATAGGCAGCACCGGTAGCTAGATGCCTGGTAATTGGGATAGCCCTTAACTGGTCCTCTGCTTCCCCAGTTGGTGCTGATAGAGAAGAAGCAGCAGCTGACAGGGCAGCTGGCAGATGCCAAGGAGCTGAAGGAGCACGTGGACCGCCGGGAGAAGTTGGTGTTTGGCATGGTCTCCCGCTACCTGCCTCAGGACCAGCTCCAAGATTACCAGCACTTTGTCAAGATGAAATCTGCTCTCATCATTGAACAGCGAGAGCTGGAGGAGAAGATCAAGCTCGGGGAAGAGCAGCTCAAATGTCTCAGGGAGAGTCTACTCCTGGGGCCCAGCAATTTCTAATTCTAGGAGCAGTCTGCCACAGCATCCCTGCCCAGCCACAGTGGGAAATGCTTTCAGTCTTCTTCCTTAGCAGTTTGTTAGCAAGTAGATAGCAATTAGCAAATCCAGACCTCTACCCTGGGCATCTCTCACTGCCCCTTCCCCTAGCAGTGGTCCCAGCCAGCTAGGAGACTCAGGGGAGGTCCCACGTTTCCACCCTTAGGAGCTGCAACAAGGTATGATAATACAGCCACACTCTCCTTCCTGCAGTTTGCAAGGGCAAGCACTTGCTGCCCACAAAACCAACAAAGTGCCTACATTCTTCTTTGTACTAGCACACCAAAGACATCAAGTACTTACCACCCACCCATACCATAATCAGCCTCTTAAAGCTCAGAAAGAAACTTCCTGTGCAGCTTCACTCTGCTCCAGGGCTTGTGGCCCAGCCATTTTCCAAAGAGATCTGGCTCTCTTGAGGGCATTCACCTAGCAGGGCATCACCCAAGCTTTGCAGTGGGAAGCACAGAAGGAGGAATTACACTTAACAGAATTCGATCAAAGGTTGGGTATCCCCAGGTCCCTCTCGGGAAGGAGCCAGCCTTAAACAAATCACCTCCAGCCCACCTTCCTCAGCAGCTAGTTGAAAGGGAAGAGGCCTACTCTCAGCCCTAGCTAGTTTGGCCTGACTCCTGTCCTAAGACTTTGGGCCTACCACCTCTTGTTTCATCTTGCCCTTTCATTGCTAGACGTTGCACAGGTGCCTACTCCGGGGCTTAACACTATGGGCCATTAATAGCTCTACTAAAGCTGGATTCTGGATATAGGTTTCATTATTGTGGGCAGGGGTTCTTATTGTCATATTTTTAATGGCCTTTTGATTTTATTTATTTTTATGTTGTGATTGTTTTTATCTTTTTTAACTAATGAGGCAAGAAGAAAGAAGTTGGAGAGGGAAAAGTTAACCCAGAATGAAAGCATTTTCTGCATATCAGCCTGAATCTACCATGGCTAGGTAAGCAAGTGCCAAGGCATTGAATTCTTCCCACCACAGCTACCAGCTTCTAAGAAAGGAGTTCTCCGCATGAACCCAGAGCCTCTCTACTATAGCCTGGTCCTGTGCTTCCCTTGAAGTCTGGGTGACTATGAGCTTAGCATTCCCAGCAGTGTTCAATTATTTCTTATTTTTTGAAACCAAAGAAATGTCCTGAAACTGAGAAAGGTTCACCCATTTCTCTACGAACTCCAGGCTATGGGAAGAGTAAAGGCGAGCTTGGGGGAGCTCTTCTAACCATCGCTTTCTCAGCCTGTGGCCCAGCTCAGGAAACCAAAACCTCATGCTAGCTGGGAGCTCCAGACAGGGCTAGCCCTCCAGAGTAAATTGTGACCCAGCAGGATCTTATGCATACAAAAAACTAAAGCCGCTGCTGCTGCTAAGGCCCTGATGCTGGTAGCTAGCTCGTATCCTGCAAAAGCCCTCAGGTGGGTGATGGTGGGAAGGAAGTCTTGGCCAAACTCTGTCCTTTTATCCAGATCAATTCCCTGTTCCTCAGTAACTAGGGCCAATCCTTGTTATCACACAGCCCAGCCAAGCCCTGACATCTCTTCTAGTTACTGCTGAGTTCCTCAGGGTCCTTGGAGGTCAACTGTAGCAGCAGGAATGCCTCATTCAACCAAAGAATTTGCCAAGGAACTTTGCTGCTGCTACAAATACTGGTCACTAGCTTCCATTTCCTCTTCATTGTATTTTAAAACAATGGGAGAATCTTGGCCAGCAGGGTGTCCTGGGGTGGGAAGGAGGGGGTATTCCTTTCTGTGGAGCCCTGGGTATGCTCTTAGTTATGCTGCCAGAACCACCGTTCAAACCTGCCCTTCTCCCCTCCAGTGGAAGATTCTTTATCTGGGAAGATTGATGGCTTATAAAGGGCTGAGCTTACCCAAGTCAAGGTTGAGGAAGTTGGGGGAGCGTTTTGAATGGAGACTACAAGGATGCTCATTTTCACATGGAGGGACAGTTTCCAAAGCTCTTAAAAATAACTGCAAAACTATATTGAGCAGTGAAGCTTGTTAGACAAAGGTAAACTGCTAAGCAGACACGCTCCTGCCATGGCAGTCTTGTGTGTGACAGTGCTGCAAAGATTCCAGTATTCCTTGAGATGCAGTGTCTCTCCCCTATCCTCAGTTCCTGCCCTCCTCTAAGGCCTGCCAAGGGTAGCAGTTTGGCAGGCAGGCCAAGGGATATGCCCAAAGACAGTTATTGGTCTTGACTTCTGCTCTCTCCTTTCAAATACTTATACAGGCCCCCATGGGTAATAGGTAAGCAGGGTGGTTGATAGAGAGGAGCTACCATCACATGTCTGCCCTAACATCCCCCCCCACCCCAAGGGCTCTGGATAATTGAGTTTCCTTGAGTCCCACAGCTGGAGACCCAGCCAGGATATAACAGTAAATGCCTGAGTGGAATCCAAGAAAATAAGACAAAAATACTGAAAATAAAGCCCTAGAAACGGAGAGATTGGAAGCAGAGGAAAGGAGAGAAGATGAAAAGATGAAAAGCCTCTTTTAAGGCCAGGTTCAGTTTCTGTTTTCCATTTAACCTCATGTGCCAAAAAGGTGCCCAGGCACACCAGACTACATCCTGGACCCCAGCCTCTGTGAAGGTGCTGCTCTGCCAGTAGCAGACCCCGGATGGAGGAAGCTAGGCACATTTCTGGTCACTTCCACCCATCTGGAGCTTGGCAACTCTTGCTGCCTTTGCCAGAGGAGTTGTTAATGCCAATAATATTTCTTTAACAGCGTATTGTATTATTCGAAAATTAGTAGATCTTTAGAGGGGGGTGGGACAGGGGGCAGTCTTTATAGATAAAGAACCAGTGTTTGTTGTACAACTGTTGGGGGTCATCTATCCCATGTGAAGGTATTATTTTTCCAAATCTTATTGTTTCTGCATTTGTGTCCTCCACCACTCCCTTCTTGGCTGACATAGATATGCCTGCCAGATTGTCATCAAGGGTCATATTTCAATAAAAGGTGCTAAGGACAAAAAAAATATCTCATGTGTTTTGACTCAGATGATAGAAGTCCCCTAATATTCTGCTGAAAAGTACTGGAAAGAAATTTGGTCACCTATCCGTAGTCCTTCATGCATAGCCATATTACTAGAGCCTTACGCACATCCCTAAACCTTTACCCTAGCCCTTAGGGATGGTATTGGTGCTATACCATTCATCATCCCCAGTAGAATAGCAAGTTCTAACATATCCTTTTTAGGGGAACAGCTTTTAGACATCTATTTCAAGAGCACCCTGAATAGGAGGCACAGAGTTTATGCCATGGGTTATTTCTGTTGGTACCATAGGATTGAGATATGGTGTTTGTCTACTTAGAAGGACCTCGGGCCACAGCTCTGCCCTTTAGTTCACTAATATATTTCTTCCTCTATGGTTAGTCAATGACAACATCACAACTAGTCTAACCCAGCATTTAGATTGCAGGAAGAGTCAACGATAGGAGTAATCTCAAGTGTAGACCTCATTAGTATAGAGTCCAGTCTGGAGTCTAGTCTGATGAGAGGTAAGCCACCTTCTAGACTTCCTCCAATCTTGAGTTCTGTCTGGCAGCATCACCTTACTTCTAGCTAATAATCTGGTCTCACACCTTCACTCTCAGCTCCCTGGAAAGCAAGGGCCTTGCTGATCAGCTCTCCAAGACAACCTCAAGGTTTAGAGCCAAATGCACTCCAGGCAAAAAGTGACGCTGAAAAACTTGATTTTTTTTCCTGATCCATACTCTGTTCGCATTCCAACTGTCCTCCTCCTACTCCAGATATCCAGTGTGGTAGAGTCAAAAGAGTTCAACTTTTGCATTAGAATGAACTTTGTTTAAATCCTGGTTCTGCCACTTATTCTATGATCTTGGATTACTTGTTCAACTTCTCAGATAACTTACTTATCACTAAAATGGGAATGATAACATCTATCTTGCAGGTTTATTATAACTCATAAATAATAAATAAAAGCCACTAGCAATCTACTGAGAAGTTGTTAGAAAGGCAGAATCTCAGGCCCCACCCCAAACCGAGTGACAGCAGTATGAAGTTTGACTAGATTCTTTTTATTGGTTTGTTTATTCCTTTTTTTGGCCTTCCTAGATGCAAATCCTATGAATTTTGACTAGATTTCCAGGAGATTCATGTACATATATTTTTTTATTTCAGAATGTTACGGGTGTACAAACATTTTGGTTACATGAATTGCTTTCGTACAGTTTGAGTCAAATTTATAAGTGTGTCCATCACCCATATAGTATGTACTGTACCCATTAGGTGTGAATTTACCTATCCCGTCCCACCTGCTTGATTTCCGTTGAATTTTACTACTATATGTGCACATGAGTGTTGATCTATAAGTTTCAGTTTAGTAGTGAGTACATACGGTTTTTGTTCTTCCATTCTTGTGATACTTCACTTAAAAGGATGGTCTCCAGTTTCATCCAGGTTGTTACAAAAGATACTAGTTCACCATTATTTTTTGTTGCTGAGTAGTACTCCATGGTATACATATACCACATTTTATTGATCCACTTGTGTATTGATGGGCACTTGGATTGTTTCCACATCTTTGCGATTATGAATTGTGCTGCTATAAACATTCAAGTACAAGTGTCTTTTTTAAATAAAATGTCTTTTTTTCCTTTGGGTAAATACCCAGCAGTGGGATTGCTGGATCAAATGGTAAGTCTACTTTTAGTTCTTTGACGTATCCCCATACTACTTTCTATAGAGGTTATACTAGTTTGCAGTCCCACTAACAGTGCAGAAGTAAGTGTTCCTTTCTCTCCACATCTGTGCCAGCACCTATTGTTTTGGGACTTTCTAATAAAAGCCATTCTCAGTGGAGTTAGGTGATATCTCATTGTGGTTTTAATTTGCATTTCTCTGATGATTAGAGACGTTGAGCATTTTTTCATATACTTCTTGGCCGTTAGTCAATCTTCTTTTGAAAAGTTTCTGTTCATGTCTTTTG